AGCAGGCACGGTGACAGACATGGAGGTAGGCACGAAGACAGACACAGAAACGGGCATGGAGACAGACACAGAAACGGGCATGGAGACAGACACAGAAACGGGCATGGAGACAGGCGTGGAGGCAGGCACAGAGACAGGTGCAGAGGCGGGGACTGAAGTACACGAGGTACCTATAGGGTCAGTAATCTGGAAGGAGACAGACATAGAAACAGGCACAGAGACAGGTACGGAGGCAGGCACAGAGAGAGGCGTAGAGGCGAGCATGGAAGTACATGAGGTACCCATAGGGTCAATGACCTGGAGCAGTTGCAGGTTAGGGTAATTACGCACGAGATCACAGATGGCAGTAATAGTTTGCACCATAGCACCTCCATTCCATAATTCCCAAGAACCAGAGGCACGGACAAGAGCGGTGTAGTGGCCAGGAGTATGTAGAATATAGGCATAAACATGCGAACAGTGGTCCGGGTCGCCACCCGAAGGGGCACGCTGCATATCAAGTCGGCGCCTTATCAAAGCAGTCTCCAAAACAGAGACATTGAATCCCCCATGTCGAGTGTAATTACTATCCTGTGGGGGATGCAGAGCCGGGTTATCACCATATAACTCACGTTCCTGAGCATCAAGATCGGAAACAATGGCCAAGAAATCAGAGTGAGTATATGGTTCCCAACGATAGGCTTGTAGATGTTAGTAGCAGCGCCGGTCAGGCGGATTTTCTACAGAATCTCCTACAGTCCCCTTGCCAAGTTCATCCTCAGATGGTCCCTCGCCATCATCCCTCCCGTTTTGTGTTTGCCGCGTTGCAGAAAGGTTTACAGTCGAAGAGCGTTGCAGGCGTGGTAAGGATGCTTGGGGCGGCAAAAGACAGGGACGGGATGTTGGGGAGGGCCGTGGTGGGGAAAATGAACGGGTTCTTCTTCGTCCAAGAACAGAGATGGAGGAAAGGGGAGTAAGGTGAGGTTGGGAAGTAGGTCGAAGTCGGCGTCAAGGACGACGAAGTAGGCTTTCTGCAGGGGCAGAACATGATGACGGAGTCTGTGTGGACGAAGTGGTTTGTGGATTAGGAAGAGGGGTAACGGATGGAGACAAAACCAAGGGAGGTAGGAGTGGTGAAGACAGGGGTGGTAGAGTAGTCGGAAGGTGGGTAACAGACGGCGATAAAACCAGGGGAAATAAAGGCGGTGAAGACGGGGGGGATGAGGTCAGGGGTGGTGAAGTGGTTGAAGCAGAGACAGGGGGGGCAGTCGTAGGTAGACCCGAAGAGGGGACTCTGCAGGTGGTAATGCAGGCATGGCCACAGATGCCATGGAGGAACGCACCGAGACCAAGGGCAACACAAGAGATGCGGTGGTCACGGATGCCATGGAGGAACACACCGAGACCAAAGGGCGACACAACGGTTGCGATGGCCACGGATGCCATGGAGGAACACACCGAGACCAAGGGCAACACAGCAGGTGCGGGTCGAGTTGCTCCCGCGGAATCAATCGTAGAAGCAACCAAGGCCGATGAGGAAGAGGCTGCGAACCGAAAAGGGGCAGCCAGGGTCACAAACGGCATGGTAGGGGTTACTAAGACTGATGAGGACGCAGGTGCGGCCGACGCAGGTAATGAAGAAGAGGTTATGATAGGTGTGACAGGCGCCGATAATGAAGGAGGGGTTGTGACAGGCGTAGTCCGAGGACAGTGTGTAGATACCCGAGAAAGCGGGTGATGAATAGACCATCGAAGCATGTTGCGGAACCAGCAGGAGAGGCGGGTCACATGCGCAGGGKACCTGTGTTGATGTTTWCGAATATAGGAAGTCCATCCTTTCGCAAGCGTTGTTGGAGAGTGCCCGCGAAAAAGCATGCGGCGTGTGAGCATCGCTGCTGCAGTTTTGAAATCATACCAGTTGTTGCAGACATACTCAAACCTAGTAAGCTGGCCTGTAAACACTCCCGCCRGCTGGTGTGCAGGGACGTTAGATGTAGCACTAGGATAACGAATAACAGGGAAATTCCATTCAGCTGCTTTGTCAAAGACACTCATACGCAGGGAGTCGTCAGGGCGGACTAGGAGGCGTGCACTCAAGAATGTGCAAGAGCCATCAGGCGCTGTGGTCTTCTTCCATTCGAGGCCATAGTGCTCTGACGGTGGTGGCAGATGTCCCCATGAGAGAACATCATCGATCAAGCGGTATGTGAACGCATACCGTTGAGCTATGCGAAGATCACGCCGCTGGAGGTCATCAACAAATCGAGCCTCATCCCAATACAATGTCAAATTAGCTATCTCTGGACCAGAATTAGTCCCCATCGGGATGCCAATCAACTGATGTCGCAAGGTGCCRTCCGCTGCATAAAGATAAGTGTTTGTGACAGTGAAATGGAGATGTTCAAGAATTTGGGAAACGGTCAAGGTGTTTGGTCCGGTATCARCCGTCCACTCCCCTTGACGGGGCCCTTTAGCAATCACGTTAAGGGTAGGAGGATGTGTGCGCCCTTGTGTGTGTTGTTGTAAGGCATATGTATAGGCTTCCTCGACCGCTTTTGAAACATTATGACAAATACGGTCATGAGGAAGATTGGTATACATAGTTATGAAATCAACAGTGCGAGGAGCATGGTCACGAAGAGAAGAGGAGTTGCGTTTGAGATCAAGCATCACCTCCTGAGCGCTTTGCGTGATCCAACATCGTCTCACACCGCTTTGCTGATACAACACATTATCCTTCTCACGGAGAGTTTCAATGACTCCTTGTAGTGCAATGCTGAGGCGGGCAGAAGTGACGGTAGTACTGGTCAAAGGTTTGTGGGGAGGTCGATGGTGGACTGCATGAACAGATGGCACAGTTAATCGATATCGTTGCAGCAGGGAGAGATCATTCCGCTCTGTGACGCCGACAATACTGCGAAGCCCAGAGGGCGATTTGTGCGCTTTAAGAGCATAGTACAGATATGGCAGCGTGTCTTTGTGTGTATATCCCCACCGATGATTCCAGAGTGCGTGATGTTCCAGAATATCTGCGACAGACTCAAGAGGCACATCATAGGTAGGGCTGTCCAAATGAGCAGAGAGATGAGACAGGTACCAATTTTTACAACAGATTGCTAAGTTATGTGAGGTCTTGTCGACAGGAACAATACCGAAGTGTTGTTGAAGGTGTCTCAAAGCCCTGTGCACTGAGTGAAGAGAGTGCGGTTGTCGTGTAGTAATATGGGGGGATGAGATGTTGCTTTCGCAACGTGTAAGAACAGTTGAGCGCCACTGCTGCAATTTGCTCAGAGCGGCCGGCCGAAGCTGCTCGAAGACCGACCTCAGGTATTTAGCAATATACTCGTCAAGG